TCTGCCTTTGATACAATAAATAGAAGAAAATTATGGGAGAAGTTTTTAGCTACTGATATAGATAGAAGATTACTTTACCTAATATATAAATTATATGAAGACACATGCAAGTACGGACAAACCAAAGCGACTCACTAATGAAGCAGATTAAAACCACAAAAGGTGTCCACCAGGGCTGTATACTGGCCCCCTTCCTCTTTAATTTTTACATAAATAACATTGTAGAAGAGCTTAATAATCTTTTCTTTTATGCCCCATCAATTGGAAGTAGAAAGGTCCCTATATTACTGTATGCAAACGATATGGTACTCATGTCGACAACATTAACTGGAATGAGAAGAATCCTGACAGAATTTGGCATGTATTCTAGGAAAGAATACTTACAGATATATTATTCCAAAACCAAGGTAGTAGATTTGCCAAAAGACCAAAGAGACATAGATGGACACTACATGGTTAGGAGATAGAACAAGTGAGGTCATTTAAGTACTTGGGTATCCAGTTTACTGAAACACTATCATGGAAAACACATATAGCATCAACAAGAACAATGGCCATGAGATCAATGAGAGCCATTTGTTCCTTCTTCTACTCAAAAGCAGGACTATTAGTACTACCTGCATTTAAGATCTTCCAGGGGAAAACAACCTCACAGTTGATATATGGGGCCCCAATTTGGCAGTTCAGTAAACCAGAAGAATTAGAAGTGGTCCAGAATAAATTTCATGAGATCAATCTTATCCTTACCTCCATGTTTATCAGCAGCAATGTTGAGATTAGAAGTGGGCCTTTCATCAATTAATATAAGGGTAGAGAAAGCAATAATCTTATAGAAGACTAGTCCTTATGCCCAATACAAAAGCCTCCACAAACAATTTAACAGTAATAGATGGGCGAATTTGTGTCTAAAACTATTCTCACAATTATTGTTAGATCAGAAATTAATGAATGACAAAAATTATCATACACTATTGAGGGACTACTTGTTTTTTAAAGATTTTAGACAAGATAGAGAGCAGGCATGTAAGCTTAAGTTAGCTAAGTGGTATTGATCTTTTAAAAATGGACAAGGAATGTCACATTATTTAGTCTCTTATATCCCATTCCCTGAGACAGACTTTCACAGAACTCTGTTTTCAAACAATGCCAACAGCCTATTTAGATGGAAGATATATAGGGTTACCAACTACACACTGTTTATGCATCTGTAATAACTTACAGGTGAAAGATTTGATCCATTAATTATTGCATTGCAAATTATATCAGAAACCTAGAGATAGATTTTTCATGCCTTTGTTAATCCAACTGAATCAGTTTAGGTTAGAAGAAAAAATCTAGTTTCTGTTGACTGATATAGATGAACATGTAACAAAACAAGTTGCATTATTTGCAATGGCTGCAAGGAAGATAGAAAGCAAATGCAACAAATAGTGCTGTTAATATTAGAGGGGATGTATTGAACTGATATGGATTGTTGTAATTTTAAACGAATTTTGCTAAAACCTATGTTGCAAATAAATGTATGTACTGTATATATGTAAAAATTGATACTATAATTGGTTTACTTAGTTATTGAGATTTTTTTTTAAAAAATCAGAAAATACTAATATAATTTGTATTCTTTTGTAACTGAAGGTTCTGAAAAATACAACAATCTAGAAATGACTTTTTATGATTTTATTCTAATTTTGACACACACACACACTCACAAAAACCAAAGCTGAGCAGCATATTGACTCTGTACAATGCCAGAGTATTATGCACATGTATCTTAGCCAGAGTCCCTGGGGTTGTTTCTTCATTCCTGATTTTCTCAGGTAAGTAGAGTAAACAAGATCATCACAGACTTCTGCTCTAATCAGTAACTGGATGCAAAAACCCTAAGTATAATTTGTAACACGCAGAGTACAGGAAATAAAAACTAATTATATATCTTTTTTGTATCAGATCAAGTAATGTTTTCATAAACAAGTTGAATGTACTGCTGCCCTCAATTTTTAGCTATCATATTGGATCACTAGAACTTAACAAAATTAGTGTTAAGTTCAAAGGCAAAAGGATTGAGAAAGCCTGAGATATTAAAAAAAGGCTAATATCCAGAGGTAATGCAAGCGATTCTAGGATAAATCAACACATTAAAAGGAACTATAGATAAAATAATGTGTTATTAAATGTTCATCCCAGAATTTTTAAAAAATCACTGTACAATTCTTAATGCACCAAAATCTTATTTTTATTTATTTATTTATTTATTAAACACGTTTATATATACTTATTCTACAAAAGTGCTGTTATTCATGGATAACTTGGATTGGCTCAGGGTTTTCTGCTTTTAAGATGTTATGATTATTGTCCCAGCATAATAATGAATTTATTGATAGTTTATCTTTTCTTAACATTTTGTTTTCTTAAGATCTTGGGAACATAGTCATGATGATTTTATGCAGGCAGTAAAATTATTTCAGGTAGCTTTTAATTATATTCATTTATGGGATTCATGGTTTTACTCAGGGTTAAACCTGTGGTCCTCCAGATTTTGTTACACAACAATTTCGGACACCCTTCACCATTGGCCATGCCGGCTGGGTTGCTGAAGGCTGTAACTGTGCAATAACTGAAGGGACAAAGGTTCCTCATCCTCATTTCTCTATTTTCACAGACTGTAAAACCTATTATCTTAAGTGTGTTTAATGTTTCCATTGTTTTAGCGGTTTCTAATATTATTGTAAATTACCTTGGAGAGGCTGTTGGACTCAAAAGGTGAACCAAAAATGTTCTAAGAAATAAATAAAATAAATTCTGCAGTACAGCTTAGTAAAGTTTCAACCCATTGGAACAAATATAATTGATTGTGAAACGGAGTTTGTATAGGCCTAATCTTTACCTTTTGTGTGTGCGTGCCTTTGAGTCCATGTTGACTCCTGGTGACTGCCTGGACAAGTCCCTGCAGTTTTTTAGGCAAGATTTCAGAAGTGGCTTGCCACTGCCTTCTTCCTAGGGCTGAGAGTGAGTGACTGGCCCAAGGTCATGCAGCTGGCTTTGTGCCTAAAGTGGGACTAGCTGATTCTTGGTTTCTAGTCTGGTGCCTTAACCACTACACCAAAATAAGAAACAGCAATTATTTTTAGTTAAAACTAGATATAAGCTATGTCTAAGACCAGAGAGAGAGGAACATTAGAATGCAGCATTCTTTCCCACTTTCCCAGGTGTTTGGGACTACAGCTTTCCTAATCTTAACCAGTTATGTTGGCTGACCATGATAACAGGCATGATGTCATAGGCTGGGAGACTGGCAAACCTCAGAACAAATATTCCCTGGAAAATACTAGGAGTTTTTGGCTTTCCCTTTATTGCATGGCAAGCCATGCTGTTTCAATATTCTTGGTACATTGGACTTTCTGAAATAAAGAATGCTTGACAATCTAATTTTTAGCTTGTGAGTGGAAGATACATCCTTAGCCATCCAATATTTAAATGTCTACTTGGTATAATTAGATCTCACCACAAGTTGCTTATTTTTCTTGTAATTTACAAGATAGGGTTTAAGAACTGGCAGTGTAAAGTCACCTTAGAATCATCTGCAGCAATCTGGCTTTTAGAATTATGGGTATTAGAAGAGATTGATACCTCTGTGCAGCAAGGTATTGGGAACAGAGCAACCCCAATACCATGAGGTGACATACCCAACAAGAACTGGTTAAAGATGCCAAATGGGTTTCGTGTGGCTGAGGTCCAATTATTCCTGCTCTGTCCTTGCATGATTTATGGAGAAATGGATCTATGGGGAGCTATTAATCTCAGATACTACAAGCATCCTTGAAAGATTAAAAAATTAATGTTTGCTGTAGAACAGGGTTCCCCAAAGTGGTCAATATGGACACCCAAGGGTTGACGGAACTATCTGTTGTTGTTGTCATTCATAGTATTATTAGGTAAAGTAGTATTTATTAAATTATTTTCATATAATGTTTGGGGGTCGATGGACAATCTGAAACTTCATGAAGTGGTCAATGAGCTGAAGAGTCTGGGGACCTCTTCTATAGAAGGATCAAGCTTATTTCAAATCTATATCACTTAAACTAGTCAGAAAATGACTCTAAAAATCATTCAAAGATATTTATTCAACTGCACTGAATTTGGAACAATATCTCAATATTATATTGAAGACGTTGAAAAAATATTAGAATTTATTCTGGTGGCAGTGTTGATTTTATTTCTATTTTAGACAATTTCTGAAGAAAATGCAAAATGATATAATCTCCTTTTGCTTTGGAGCAATTCATACTTTCTAATTTCCCAGAGAACCATAAGACAACCCTATATAAAAATATGTTAATTAGCTTCTAATAGTGGCCAAAACTGTTATAATACTACATTACAAAGTAAAGGCAAATTTGTAACAGAATAGTATTTTCATATATGAGATACAGCATTGGGTGTTATAAATACAGCAGTAAAAAGCCCTATAGAACCCCATGAAAAATTTCAAGTTTAAAAAAATCTGGTACTTTCTACTAGCAACATCTCACCATCTCCATGAGAATAATGAAAACAACATTGTGCTATAACCACTGCCTTTTGGGGAGGGGGGCGTGGAACATCATGACACATGTAGAAAAGGGGCAGGGCTTGAACTATGATGATGCAATTTGCCAGTCTGGGCTTCTTGCCCATCCAGGAGATGCTGCTATTATTCATACTAGACATTAGCTGTCAATCATCCTCCAATTTTTTTCTCCACATTTGTTGTTGTTGTTCAGTCGTTAAGTCGTGTCCGACTCTTCGTGGCCCCATGAACCATATTGCGCCAGGCCTTCCTGTCCTTCACTGCCTCCCTGAGTTTGCTCAGTTTCATGATTGCTTCAGTGATGCTATCTAACCATCTCATCCTCTGCCGTCCTCTTCTCCTTTTGCCCATACTTTTATATGTGTATTCTTGAACAAAGTAGAATGAAGAAGATACTTAAGTGATAAATGAATCCATATCAAGAAATACTCACCCCCATAACCTTCCCACGTTGCTCAGCATCTTCCCACATAGCATATACTATATAGTGACACATGTATTTTCCTGTTCGGCCCTCTTGCTTCATTCGTACTAAGCACATCCTAGAGGAAAGCAAATCAAATATTTTAAATACACACACAAAGATAAAGACAAAAAATATATTGATAAGAAAATAAACCAAAAATGAAGCAAATTTCAAGATGCTGGTAAAAATCCTGATTTTAATAGTACACAGTAAAAATCACTATGGGAGATAAAATGATACCACTACCTATAGAGCATTCCACAGATCATAGAAAAGTGGATGATTAAATTATCTTATCCCTTTTAGCTGTCTTCCCAGCTATAGGGCTGCAATAGTAAATAAATGATCAAAAAGACAGCAGAGAAAACCCATCCAGAATCTCACTCTTAGGCACATGTAGTCAGAACTCCAGTTGTTTTCAACTAAAGTTTAATTCCAGGTAAATATGTGTTAAGATGGAGCCACAGATTCAATTAATTAGAACTAATATTCAACTAAACATGGATAGCAAGCTATTTGTCTGCTAAAATAAGAATGCGTAGGGTTACTATATATCTTTTTGATACAAAACCGGAAGAGAATCACTTCTTTCAAAGAAAGAATAGATTCCTTTGAAAAAGAGAACAAATCTGGTATATATACCAAGGACTTTCAATCTCTGTGCCGAAACAATGTCACACTCAAAGTTCACAATTCAGTGTATTAAAAATGGTATTTGTTCTGCATGGGTTATTCCAAATTTGGGATTTTGATAGTATTTTGAAAACACTGTACATGTGGTATCAGATACAGACACTTAATTAAACTAGCATGAATCAAGGGTAGGGAATATAATTCAAATGGATAAGAAATGGTTATTTCGCCCTCTTGGTCCATTGTTATAAATTTTTGCAGATTGACAAAATAAAAATGTTCCTCCTAGAGAAAAGACTTAATGCTAGAGTTTCTGTTAGATCAATATCAAATGGCACTGTTTTAAAGATAAGACCTGGAGCATGCCCACTCTATCAGATCTTGCTGATGGGCAGAAACAATGGGAGAAAGACGGTCCCGCAGATAACCAGGTGCTATATAATAAAAGGCTTTATAAGTCACAATGAGGACCTTGAATTGCACCTGGAAGCTTATCAGCAACCATAAAAGGGGTTATATGAGCATATTGAGTTGTGCCCATAACTGCTGTGCCATGGCATTCTAAATCAGCTGCAGCTTCCAAGTAGTCTTCAACGGCAGCCCTGTGTAGAGCACACTGTGCATATTTGTGTGTGACAAAAGTATGTGAATCTCAGGATTATCAGTTCATTTGAAGGGGAAGTTAGAGTCAGGTGTTTCAATCAATGGGATGATAATCAGGTGTGAGTGTGGGAGGCCCTGCCTTATTTAAAGAACAAAATTCTGGGGATTCACTATTGAAGTCTATTCTTCACAACACAGGTACATGTCATGGTTTGAACAAAGGAGACTTCTGAGGACCTTCAAAAAACAGTTGTTGATGCTGATCAGGCTGGAAAAGGTTACAAAACTATTTTCAAAGAATTTGAACTCCACCAGTCCACTGTCAGGCAGATTGTGTACAAAGGGAAGCAATTCAACACCATGGTTACCCTCCCCAAGAGTGGTTGACCAACCAAGATCACACCAAGAGTAAGGCATGTAATATTCTGGGAGGTCTCAGAGGACCCCAGGGTAACGTCTACCACTACCAGGAGACACTGAACAGCAATGGTGTGCATTGCAGGGTTGCAAGGAGAAAAGCCACTACTCTCCAAAATGAACATTGCTGCATATCTACAGTTTGTGAAAGACCACATGGATAAACCAGAAGGTTATTGGAAGAATGTTCTGTGGACAGATGAGGCCAAAATAGAACTTTTGGGCTTGAATGAAAAGTGTTTTGTTTGACGAAAGGCAAATGTTGCATTCCAGCATAAGATCTTTATCCCATCTGTGAAACATGGTAGTGGCAGTGTCATGGTTTGGGCCTGCTTTGTTCCCTTTGGACCAGGACAGCTTGCCATCATTGATGGAATTGGGAATTCTGAATTGTACCAGCAAATTCTACAGGAAAATATCAGGGTATCTGTCTGTGAACTGAAGCTCAAGAGAAAGTGGGTCATGCAGCAAGACAACGACCCAAAACACACAAGTCGCATGACCAAAGAATGGTTAAAGCAGAAGAAAGTTAATGTTTTGGAATGGCCAAGTTAAAGTCCTGACCTTAATCCTACAGAACTGTGGAAGGACCTGATGCAGGCAGTTTATGAGAGAAAGCCCACCAACATCTCTGAGTTGAAGCTGTTCTGTAAGGAGGAATGGGCTAAACTTCCTCCAAGCTGATGAGCAGGACTGATCAACAATTATTGGAAATGTTTAGTTGCACTTATTGCTGCCCAAGGGGATGCACCAGTTACTGAAAGCAAAGGTTCACATACTTTTGCCACACACAAATATGTAGCTTTGGATCATTTTCCTCAATAAATGAACAAGTGTAATGTTTTTCACTCATTTGTTTAACTGGGTTCTTTTTATCTAGTTTTAGGATTTGTGTGGAGAACAGATCACATTTTAGGTCATATTTATGCAGACATACTGAAAATTCAGAAGGGTACAAAAATTTTTAAGCACCACTGTAAGTCTGTCCCTCCCCATCCAGACCCCAAAAGCCTTTAGGCACTGGGGCAGGATCTTGACAATATCACACCACTCCTAACTGCCAGAGCCAGCAGCTGCTGCCACACAAACTCCTACCCCCAATGCAGGGCATCACCAAAGTCCTGAAGGATCTTATAGTCCAACAAGCAGCTGAACAAAGAGTCCAGCAAAAAGTTCAACAAATAAGCTGGAGATGAATCTAAACTGACTGATAAATCAATCTCCAAAATAAGCATGACAGGGAGGACTGTAGCTGCAAATGCTGGAAACCAATGCTCAGGCAGCCACAGAACTTGGATGGATCTAGCATTTGCACCTCTAACTAACAACGCACAGCTGCCAGGGAATCAGTAAATTCTTGCTGGCTTGCTGAGGTCTTCAAAATGGTAGACTTCCAGTGAACCGTCTCTGCTGCTGAGCCAGGATAGAAGTGACTGTTGCAGAATGCTGCCTCACACCAAAATCCATCTCTTCGTAATAACGAGCAGGGACAGTTCTCTTCCTGGGATCTACCTCCAGCGCGCTGCCTTGGTCCAGCCCTGCATCGGACACAGCTTCCAACTGGAGCACAATACTACCACAAGATGTTTACAAATGTTCCAAATCTTTGTGCCACTAAACTAATACCAGCTAACTGGAGGGATAGAAGCACACACCTACAGCTACTGTGCCTGATAATCTGCAACTCCTCCAATTGTGTAAAATGTTAAAAAAAAAAGTGTTTCAAAGAGTAGGAGTGCAAACACAGCATCTGCCAGCAACTCTTTAAAATAGCTGCCTGCTGCACAATCCTGGGAAAATATAGGTCTGCTTTAAAGAGCTGCAAACTGGTGGCCCTACACACTCCTGACACACTTTTCTGGAACCAAAGATAAAGCACTGCATAGTCCTAATAAAAATCACAGAAACCAATACAATTATCACTCATGGAATAAAAATCAAGTACAGTAATTCCCAGCCTGCCCTTAACCCAATGCTTGAAAAGTTGCAGAGGATTTAGATGCATTGTGCTGTCACACAGCAATTTAGCAACACCCTGAATGAGGTCATGGAAATTGGAGTCAGTATCCCATTTACAGTAACTGCCACTTGAGGTTAAAATGACAGACTTTCTAACCAGATCAACACAGCTGCAAAACTTTTATTCATTACCATAAGGCTATGTTTAAACATTCAGTTAGTAAACTGCCAAAGTATCTTTATAATGTAAGTTTTTGAAGTTTTTCTTTACCCACTTATTAATTTCTTAAGCGAAAGTCCTACCGTATTATCATACAATTTAGAAACCAAAGTGTGCTTGCTTTGATATCCATCTTTCCAAATTCATATGTCATTGTTTATAGAGCTTCTCAGTTCATCAACAAAGATTTTACCATTTGACCTAGTGCTGACTTCTCTCTCTATACCTGACAAATCAATCACTCTTGCATATATCAATATTTATCAATGTATTTTCTTTCCATACATTAACCGACCTCCTCCTTCAATGAATTCCAGGCAATCCTGGAATTGAAGCCCTGGGCAGACCTAGGCAGCAAGGCTACAAAAGTTGGAACTGGAGTAGGCAACCTGTGGTACTAACTTCCTTCTACCACTCCTATCAGCCATGCTTCCTGGGAATCCTAGGAGTTAACTGATGAAGCACATTTTTCTTGAAGTTGAAGTTGTACAGATTTGTGTGGAGAACAGATCACGTTTTCGGTCA